AAAAGCCTAAACGAAAGGTCACTAACTGTCAGTCTGGTTAAACTCTTAGTAGGAGGCGCTACGCTCCGTTCGAAGAAAGTTAAATCCTTACGAGTCACGTGACATTTGCCTCGACAATATGTATGTATTACTTACGGAATCTTCATTCCCTCATCTCTCAATAACAGTTGCTGTAATAAACAAAGTGGTAATAATTGAAAAGTTGTTTGTACATAGAACTCTTCAGAGTTTTGTTTTTGGTCAGTTATCTCAAAAAACTGAATGGGAATCTGTTAAAACGCTCTTAAAAGACAGTTTGCAATGAGCATCTACTACTTGACACAGAAAATACTTACAAGACTGTTTCAAGCTCCAGTGTACAGCTCAGAACTTGCAGTATGTTTTGTGTTATAGCACAAAGAACAAGTCGCTAGTTGCATGAGTATATAATTGTCATGTTTGATGTATCGATAAGTCAATAGTGACTAACTAAGGCATTTTGTTGATAATTTTTTGTAGAACTATCATCAAATTTTCCCAAGTATGGTAATTGATGGCGTATTTCACAATGAAATTAGGTGAATATTAACAATCTGATCAATCCGGATTTAAAAATGTATTTTAATTTATTTTTTTCTGCTGGATTGAAATACCTTTTTGGGAAATTCTGCGTTTTTCAGAAAGTGTCATTTAAAAGTGTATTTAAATACACTTTTTTACCAGACAGTTGGGTAGTTTAAATACCATAAACGGCATTCCGCAGTTTTCAGAAAGTGTCATTTAAAAAAGTGTACTAAAATACAGAAAAAACTATTTAAATACACTTTTGACGCCTCTGGCGCGCACGACAGAAACAATAGCGGTCGAGAAGCAAGATTCACCTCGCGAAGTCACGACTCCCACCCGGTCAGGCCGGTATGCATTTTCAAAAATAAGGTGTACACCACTTTGATTACGTTTTCTCGTTTTTGTCTGCTTCTTTAGTAATAGTGTAGTGCAACTGGTGCATAATTGATCTTACATCGGATTGATTTGTATTTATATATAATGCCCAAAATGTCGCCTGCCACTAACTTTGAATCCAAACTTGATGTCTTGTTTTACGTATATGTGTATAGTAGCCAACTTGGCTGGAATCCTTTTCGCGACCCCTGTGAATTCTTACTGCTGGAGCTGTGGTATGCAATATCTGCCTAGTTGAACCCATTTCCCAGATTGCACAAATAAGCTCTTCTTCTGATACCTCTTAGTTCTTTCCCATTGCTTGTGTTTCTTTGCTGAACGCCTTTCTTACATATCTCAGCTATCTCGGAATCCGGGATATCCTGGAAAGCCTCGGGTAAATTTATAGCCAATTACTGGGTTTGTAAAAATGTAAATTGTCTGACCAATTTCCCTAAAAAATTTTCACCTTATGAAAATGTCCAAAGCAAAAATAGATCTTGCTAACTTGGATTTCAACCGTACCTACTCATTTGAAGAGTTCGAGTTTGTTAACGAACAGCTCAAAACACGCACCTTAGAAGTCAACGGGCAACCAGTCAATTTATTTGACCTCGATGCAAACAGAAAGCTTGTTCCAATGCCACAGGCAACTCACTGCATGGAGGTTACTGTTGCAACAATCGTGGGGGAGCTCTATAACTGGAACGTTCAAACTCGACAAAACGGGGACATAAAAACAGCACAAGGAGGGTTTGATTTCAGTGTTGGAGGCCAAAGAACGATCAGAGCTCCTGATGTCTCCTTCACACCCAAAGCGGTATCTTCCCAATTGACTGAATTGCAACGTTGGAGTTTCCAGGGTAGACCATTCACTCCCACGTTTGTTGTTGAGGTTGGAGATACCGAAAGTAGTACATCGACGTTTGGGAAGTTAGATGACAAATTTAAGCGCGAATACTTTGCAGTTGGGACATCTGTACAACTCGGTTGGTTGATTGATCCCAAAAATAGCAGAATCTGGGTATACAAGCGGAATCAACATGGTAATGTCTTTCGTCATGAGCACGCATGGGACGATGTAAACGGTGGTAACATTTTGCTGGGGTTCAAATTGAAGGTGTGGAAGATTGAAGAAGCAATTTCACAGGTGCATCACATCATTGCTATTACCTCTATGTAGCTATTTTCACCACTCATGTTTTTGATCACAGGCATCACCCGAGTTACCATCGTTAGAAAGTGATGAACCAGTCAACTGTCCTAAATGTGGCATGACTTTCCCAGATAATTACACTTTCATGAATCATTATGAAGATGAGCATGCTCGTCAACAGCGTAGAGCATAGAGCATGCTAATTGGTGTTGAAATTCATTGTGCTGTGGATAGTGCAGTATCTTTACAAAGTTGAGATAATAGTTAATTAGCAAAAGTTTATGAAAAGGATAACAGTCTTTCCAGAGACAATTATAAATGCCACAAGCGCTATTATCCGTCTGATTGCTAATAACAGCTTTTTCGTAATTTACAAAATGAAATTTATTTGCGTTTTCACAAACTGTTCTTGCTATTCCTTTGCCACTTTGTCCAATTTGATGATTTGCATAAGTTGTCAACATTCAATTACTTTTCATTGCGGAGTAAGTTTCAGTTACAGTTTACTATTCATGAAGGCCGATGAAATTACCAACTACTCAATATGGTAATAGCTATCATTAATTCATATTCTCTCATCAGGAATCTGTTTGCTGAAATCTAACGTTTGTCGTGCATAAGCGTGTAAATTCTGCAATGCTTATAACGCGTTTTGTCAAGTATGATTAAACTTAAATGCATTAATCTAGACGCGCATAAACGTGTGGTTTCTGCAAACGCTTATTAGGCAATTCATCAAGCGTTTCAATTACTTTAATAAGGTATTTTAATATTTCTGACTGATATTGCATATGATTCCTGTAAAAGTAGTCTCACAGTTCAAGCATTCAAGTTCTTATAAACGAAAGCACAAATGGCCATGTAAACAGTCTATACGTCTCGCATAATGATACGTCCATTGTATTTTTATTAATCAAATACAACACTTGACAAACTCACAAGTCAAAGAAGCCTTTAAACATACAAATACCAAAAGTCACTCTCTCAGAGTACATTCTGTTGTGATTAATGTCTTTTAAGTCAACAGACATATGTTACCACATATATAATCGTCAATTACAGTACTTATGTCACTGTCATTATAATCATATCCCAAACTAAGTCTTTGCCAAAGACTTTGTATGGAAGTAGAAGTGTAAGAATATATACTTATCAAACAAACTGATTTATATAGAATTTTGTGTCAACCAAGCTCGGAATAAGATGGACTGTTCGGGTTATTGATTGTAGAGGTATTAGTCCGCATTCATCCAGTAACTTCATAAAAGTTTGTATCTTTCATCCTTGTTCTTATATCTGTTTGCGCAAATGGCATAATCATACCACTGAATCATCAGGAGTTCTCCACCCTTTGGAAGAGTATGTTGGCCGAAAAACAAGCAAAGCCTATTAAAAACGGTTTTCAGTATGTTGATTTGAAGACAATGAATACCTTTCCATAACAATGTCCGTCTTCTGTATGATAGCTTTGTGCTTGTTCATTGTCCATCAATATTTCAATATCGCTAAACCAAGGTTGACCATAGAAATTGGTATTTGCTCTGACAATATTACCTTTGCTTAGTGTTGCTGATGCGAAAAAACTGAAGACGAACATTATTCTCATCGTCTACGAAAATGTTCGGATCCATTAGAAGTCACATCCTGCCATGTCAGCAGATACTTTATCCAATTCTGTAAATGACATTAAGGCAATACAGAGATGGTTTCTGAAGTAAAAGTGGTCAGCCAAGTGAATTATGTTATGGCTATCGTCTGGATCCTGGACATACAGATTCATGGTACATAGGCAAACTCGATAAGTCAGTCATGCATGATGGACTGACTTATCAAGAGAACCAACTTATCAAGAGATTTTAAATATTAAAACTGAGAAAAGGGCTTGGGAAGTTTTGGCCTTCTTAGGCCAAAATTGAATCATCGAGAGACCAACTTATCGAGTTTGCCTGTGTATATAGAATGAATGTTAGCAGCTGTAACTTTCGAAAAAAAATCAGTTCTAGACCCATAGACCTACCCATCGAGCAAGAAACTCTAGAATCTTGACCTTTACCAAGGCCTGACAATGGAACTTCTTGTTTCTGATAATCTTTACTGCGACATGTTCGCCAGTCTTATGATCAAGATACTTTAACACTTGACCAAAGAGCCTTTACCAAGACTATTTCATATCTGTAATACAAATGATCTCCCATCCCAAACAGTCACTCCGCTCATCATCGAAGCCAAAGTTACAGCCAGTCAGCTCTGTGCTTGCAGTTTCTTGATTGCATTGGGAGCAGTGAAATATACATTTGGGTATTCGACTATTTCTGTACGCTCGTATTGAGAAATGATATGGACCGAATGTCTTTAATGCTGTCTGCGGTTGTACCTTTTTGCACGAGATTCTTTGTCCCTCTTCTCCCGCTTGGGCTGGGCTTTGCGCGCCTGATCTGATAGATCTTGAATCAAATTCTGCCCGCCTTTTGTAAAGATGAGCTGCTCACTGCGGCTGTACTTTCGTCGTTGCGGTCGGTACAGCATTCAAATTTCTCCGAGGTTTCTTGCTGCCGTTATTAGAGCCAGTAACATTAGTCGTGTGGTTACTTGCGCCGACTTTCCACCGGATTGCAACATACTGCTTCCTGATGGACGTCTATTCCTCGGTGACAGGCGGCTAGTTTTTGAGCCGCTCGGCAAGGCAAAGTGGCGTTTGTGGTTTTGATGACCGTGTGGCTATTCCAGTTGGAGTTGGTATTTTAGACGGAAAACTTGTAACCACCGTATGTGGTGTAGATGGTATTTTCAAGCAAGTTTCGGATTGTTGGCGAATTCGGTCGAGTGGAGGCACGATGGTGGATTATATGAGGAAATAGTCTAATTTCGGGTGCGTAGTTTTACCGAGCATCGTCTAGTAGGCATAATACAAAAAAAAGTCATGAGTGGATGCGAAAGGGAAGTTATGAATCTAATGTCTTTTCTAGGGCGATCGGCATTATTAAAAAACTTCGATTTATAATATCGTTTTGTATAATGCTCAGTATTACAACTACAGATATAGCGATTTACCTGTACTCTTGGTCCTCCACTATTTACGTCAGTGCTACCATATTTCTTTTCTCTTGGCTGGCTGACAATGTTCGATGTTGTGCTGCGGGAACTCGCACAGCGACCCCCCCAAATTTCTCCGACGATTCTGCAATTCCATTGGTCCAGATTTGTTCGAAAACTTTGATTGGTTCGTTACATATAAGGATCTAATCTAGAGTAATTCCAGTCACTCCAGTCTTAATTTCATGACCAGAGTTGGGACATTAAAAATGTTACACTTGACGTCATAAAGAGTCGTTGGGAAAATTTTGGCTCAACTCTCTCGACTCAAAGTGGGTAACTATGGTCGATAATACAACGCAATACTTTAATTCTCTGTAATAGTAATAGTGATGCAATTTCTCTCTTTTCATTCACATGGTAAGTGTATACGGTAATGATGAGGTAGGTATGTTTATTGGCTAAGCATCACTTTACCATTTTATGAGCATCAAGATGAATACAAATGGCTCGGATACTCTGCTACTTGTCTTATTAATCGCGAAGAACTTATATGCAAAGTGTCAATTCAGAAAATAATATAATAGCCGAATACTTCTCATGCCCTGCTTATTAGTCGCCATGATTTTATAACGAAATAATTATTTTCGTAACATGCCTTATTAGTCGCTAGGGAATTCTTACATCAAAGTATCGGTAGAGAACAAAATAATACAACATTTCCAATAATTGATAACGGATATTAATATTTTATTATTACAAGAGATGAAACCACCCCAGGGAAGCCGTTCCGCTTTGGTTTTATCCTCAGCAGCCAAACTTACTTCTTTCCGCCTGGGAGAAAGGTCGTTTATATAGTGAATTTTATATCACTATTCGTATTCATCACTCCAGACATCTACTCGCGAATTATCACTATTTACGATCAAGTGGTGTTCGAAATCTTAAAGTTATACAAAAGCGCCGCAGAATACATGCGTTTTACCAACTCCAAAATACATGGGAGTGAATTTTTGACCAATCAAACAATTCCGTAGTAAATAGCAATAATACAGTATGTAAATAGTTTATGATCAGAGTAAATGTGATACTTGTTTATTAATAAGATAAATAAAAGAATCAGAATGTTTATATTGATTTTCACACCATCTTGAGACTTCAAAACACACACTACCTTGCCTTTATATCTTTCAAACTACTAATTTATCTATTTTTGGCAGCATATCTCTAAGCTAAGTTTATTTTTCCACATAATTGCCTACTACTACTGTCAAGGATCTGCATGAAATTTCTGCTACAAGATGAAAACTAGAAAAGTCTGCAGCAAATCTCGAAATATGATTGGCTCTCGTACATTTTTACAACTTTTTCCGTATGCTACTAAAAACTGTACAAACACATACTAGAAGACGTCTAGTTTTGTTAATCACAAATAATCCCTTGCGCACAGCTCTTTTTGAAAAAGTAAATGAGAGCCAAAAACTCTAGATTTGCTATGTACATTGTTCACTAAGGTGAAATGAGAATGGTAATGATCACGTTATCGTTATTAACGCTGTGGCAGAATTCGATCACACCAGATACATTAAGAATTGACCAGATAAAGTGTTGGCGAAATGAACGACTTCTTGTATACATGTCCGTTAGTTCAATGATTGACGGTTCTGCTACTAAATATCGCCTTGACCCACCATTGTTGCTCCCAGCCAATCTCCCTTATGTACGTTTGTCAAATGCAAATACTCGATCCATTGTAATAGACTTGGTCCTACTTTATAAATTGTATCCCTCTCAAGAAGTCTTGTGCTTTACACTGCACTTTACAACACATGTACACGCCATACATGCTCTATCCTTTATATTTGTTCTTCAGCGCGTTTATATGTAAAGCCAATAGTAATAAAATAGAGCTATTAATGCCATTTTTGAAGCAAACGCCATCTAATGAACAAATTAGGTACCACTTAGCAGACGGCACCTAACTCAAGAGTAATGTCAGTCAAGTAGATAACACAACCATGAAGCAACCGACAAAGACATTTCTTTATGGTATGGAGAAAAATCACGAAGACCGCACTCATCTGCCAGTAACGGAAGAAGAAATCCCATCCGAGAAGATTGAATAAAGATCAACAAACACAGTGAGCACGTAGAAACACACTAAAAATCCAACCGAACAATGTAATTTCACACAATTTTATGGGTCCCAATTGTTAGAATAATCGGGATTCTGACAACAGTGGGGAAAAGATATCCATCTCTCACATCAGCCTCAATTGTTGGAACAATCAAATTACATGTCCAATTCCACAACTTATCAATCGCTATGAGCACCTGCTACAGTACCCACCAATGGTAACATTGACATGTACATCCAGTTTAATTTGACTTGCTAATATATGTTACATGAACCGCCAAATGATAATACCTCTCAATTAATTACAAAAGTATATACTGTCCCATATGCAAATACACTTAATATACTACACTAAAGAGCACTATTTTTTGATTCACATCCATGTGATAAATATTAGATACGGCACTGTAATACCAAAGCCCAACAGAGGCCGACTCGTCACTCTGAGGACACCGATAAGAGTGTCTCTTCTTTTGCTTACTGATTTCCAGACTCGATATATCGCCTTCCACTCACCCAACGCCACCGATCAACAGGTTTCCGTAAGTCCCAAATCGTATTGAATGCAATCACTCCCCGAGTTCAATAAACGGATAATAAGCTATATCGTCTACATTCATTGATTTCCTCGCAGCTAAAGTCTCGTATTCTCCGAAGAATTCTACAATCTTCTCGTGAATGAATCCCTTCAACCTTCGAAGCTCCTCTCTACATTCAAAATGTCTCGAACAGTCAACCTCATGTAATTGGCTCCATACGTCACTCGGATTGGGAATTGGAAATGTGCAAATATCTTTGACACACTCTTCGAATTTACTTCTCAGATGTTCAGATGATAAAGGGGGAAATTCGCGATCAACCGTACGCGAATATAACCTGTTGAGTCCCTCGATATATTCTTGTCGAGATACTTTGAGTTTTATAATCGTGAGTGGAGAAATAATGGACGTTTCTGCAGCATTGTGGAAGAAATGTTCAAAATTGTTGAGTACGAGCTTGGATGATTCTTTGTATACACTAGCGATACGATATTTTTCTGCTAATTTCAATGCTTGCAAAGGTTCATCATAGAAACCTCTGCAAAGAAATGCCTCGCAGGCCTTTCTCAACTTTTCGATTAGATATTTATCCGCTAGATACAAAAAATCAGAGACATCGTCCCAAGAAATCTCAAAATACGTATTTGGATACAAGAACGTAAGTAATTTTTCAAGATTTTCTGCTTTTTCGTTTGGCAGATAGAGGCGTGGGACTGGAAATGGATCTGACGACATGTCTGATTCAGTCGGTCTGACATTCGAGAACATCGTTTCGAAGAAAGCTGAGGCGTAAAAGAGTATCGTTTTGTGGACTCGAAATACTATGTTCTCTGCAACCATTTCAAAGTCGCCGTCGGAATAATAATGGATGTCACTCCGTGTATACATCTAATCCGCAGAAAGATTTGTTAGAACGATGTGTTTGTGACATTGGAGATGGATTCGAAATGTCAAGACGAATTTAATCACGATTGTCTGTATTATTCGAACAGACAATTTATCCAATTACAGTAAGTGATCCCATGTTGTGACTCTCCAGATTCGCTTATACCTTGTCTCTTTATCTCAATGACTTGTGTGGATTCCAAATAATCAGATTATTTGTGCGCTACTCTCAACAATGACAGCAAGAAAAGGTTTGACTGTCTGGGTGCACACGGACACCTGATTCCAAAATGGCAATTCAGTACTACTAACCGTGCGTGGCGTACTTTATCACAAAAAGCTATAAAAGGGAATACCTACTACACAGGCAAACTCGATAAGTCGGTCTCTCGATGATTCAATTTTGGCCTAAGAAGGCCAAAACTTCCCAAGCTTTTTTCTCAGTTTTAATATTTAAAATCTCTCGATAAGTCGGTTCTCTCGATAAGTCGGTCCATCATACATGACCGACTTATCGAGTTTGCCTGTGTATTACTATTACTACGCCATATGAAGGTTTCAGACATCAGCATTCTTGGTCCTTTGCTTCATTCTCTACCTCTTCCCAATAAAACATCTATAATAGCGTGAAATTAGAAATTGTCAGAACTGTCGGATAACGTGAGTTTTATATTTGACACTAATACTAATACTAATGCGATGAGCGAAAAATGGCTATCGATCGATCGGATGATCTGAACTAATTTGTAATCACATGCACTAACGCTAAATAAAACTTTTCGTATAAAGTCATATGACATATCGACATGACAGGTTCGTCCTCCACAATTAGGTCAATCCTCAGAATATTTTCACCGATTCGTAACAGTTGTTCGTAAGTCATGAATTTGTGAACGCGTGCGTTTACGACAATCATATTTGACCAAATACATATTATATGAATAGAGAGGAAGGATATCAATAATGCCTGAAACTTAAAACCAATCGTTACCCGCATCAAATCACGCGACTCGCTAAAATTGCTAGTCCGTTGTTTGATCCATAGAATGTTCAACCACTCGTGGCTTTGTGCTTTTGCTGCACAATAAATATGAACGACATACCGTCGGTTACTGACTTTAGCAACTACGCTAAAGGTGATCACATTATCAAAGGAGTTGTTATTGAGACACCAGGAAGGGAAGATCTTGGCTTTACACTAAATATCAACGATGACTCGCATTCAACAAATTCCCAAGAAATGCAACCAGTTTCTACTCCAAATGATAACATTACACTTCCAAGCCCTATTTCCACTGCAATCTCGGGTGCTCCTCGTATTGGCGGTAAACTCTCTGCCATAACTCTATTCTCCCCTCTCATCACCGACGTTCTCAGACTCGCTGACGAAGTAATACTACTCTACGAGGCTGCCCAACACAACAAAAAAATATGTGGTCTTCTTCTCGATAGAATACTTGCCGCTGAGGCTGCAGTCAAGGATCTTAACATTAAAAAGCAAGAAAATCTTGGTTTTTTTACCGATCAGAGAAACTATATATTGTTCCTAAGATTCAAGCTATCAATTGAGAAGATTAAAAAGTTTATCGAAGATATTTCGCAGATTAAGGGATTGAGAAAATTTTCGGTAGGATTTCTGCAGGCAAATGTCATCAAAAAGACTTTCGACGAGTTAACAAGCGAATTTGATGGGTGTATGAGAAGCTTGAACTTTAGTATCACGGTTGAGACACGAATACAACAACAGAAAGATAAAGAAGTTATTGATAAGGATATGACAGATATGAAAGAAGTAAGTGCGTTCAATCCCATCACGAATATAATTATTCAACATACTGCTAATCATAGCACCTACGATGGCTTCGCTTCCTCTTGCATAGTATCTAAATAACATACAAGGTGGCATAACCGATCTTCAAGGCGGTATTTCCGACACCATAGAACACATTGCAGCTCTTCAAAGTCTTCTCCAAAAACAACAAGCCCAATCACGTGAACTCTCGCCTCCTACAAAACTTTCTCAAATAACTTTCTCAGAACTAATCTCTGACAGTTTCATCGATCTCAACCAATTTACTCAACCCGAGGGCGAAGTAAGCTCTGGTGTTCACCGTCGCCGACGGAAAATAGATCACACATATTATGCATTTCGAGATGTAAATATAAACTTAGCTCGTGTGGAACGGACGAACGAGGAAGAGAGAACTGTTGTCAAAGAAATAAGAGAAGAAGTTATAAACACGGTTAACATATTAAAGAGATTAAAAGACTCAAAGAATATAATCGAGTTTCTAGGTTTGGCTGAGGAGGGAGATATGATGTATCTGGTTTACGAATGGGCTGAGTATGGAACATTGTTAGATTATTATACAAACTATGGACAATTGCCATGGTCGAAGAAAATAGAATTTGCTGTTGATATCGCCCGAGGATTGTGTTTTCTTCAAGCAGTAAACATTCTTCATCATGACATACGGTCAGAAAATATCCTGATTACCGAACATCATCAAGCGAAAATTGCAAATTTCGCCAATTCGCGTGGGTTACATGACGCAACCAGAAATGTAGCCGCGAACCTCATTAATATACGGTATATGGCTCCGGAGAAGATTGTAAATCCGAATTGTGGCTATGATTTCAGATGCGAAACATACAGGTAAATAAAGAGTTTTCTGCAGAGAAAGCGGGGATTCATTCACCGTGAACACCGTCCGTCGTAGAATGAACGACCCATCATTTTTTCCTCCTAATTTATTAGTTTCGGAATGTTGCTTTGGGAAATCGCAGAAGAGAAACTACCATATTCGGATGTTGAAGATATTATAAAAGTCCGAGAATTAGCTTGCGATAAATATTACCGTGAACCGCTCAGTCCAAATACCCCAGCACAATATCAGAGCATTGTAATTCAAGGTGTGAACATGGCTTATGCCGAGATTTTCTTTCCTTGTCTATATAAACGAGCTCATTTTTTATATTGTTTCACTTTCTATCACGTTTCCCATTCGGTCTTCCCATTCTCCCATCCGTTCTGTCCTACAATTATCTTTGGCTTTTTCTGCTATAGCAACGACGTACCACGCCTCGGAACGTCTGACAATTACGAAAATATTTACATCCCTTCATTCGCTTCTCAAAGCGCATGCTCTTCCTCGATCACCTCGCCTCTCCTCGGCCACTCTCCCTTCGCCCGCTCTCCCTTCGCCCTCTGCTTCTCCACGCTCCAGTTCCGATGATGACGATTGTTTGATTGATTTTGGCTGTTTCAATAGCCTAACGATGGAAGACGCTCTCAGAGAACATCGTGCAGCAAACGGTAACAAAGGCCTTGCTTGGGAAACGTTCAATTTATACGCTGGCATTGGAGATGTCAATGCTAAATACTGGGTTGGGTATTATCTTTACTACGAAATGGTGAAATTGGATCAACCAGTTAGCAAAGAGGAGAGATTGAAGATGGCAGCGAAAATGTTTAAGGAAGCTGCAGACGCAGGCTTGCCCGAGGCACAACTAAGATTCGGCCATTGTTTGTGGAGAGGTGTTGGGACAGAAAAAAATGACAGACAGGCCATCGAGTATTTTAAGATAGCAGCAGACAATGGGAACACTACTGCTATGTACAATATCGGGAATTTGTATTATAATGGGATCGATGTCGAACTAGGGATGAGGTATCTAAAGAGAGCAGCATATTGTGGTCAAGCTGAAGCCGCCAAAGCTTGCAAAATTCTGGGAATTCAGTTATAAGGGAGAAAGGGAGCGGGAGAAGCCCAGAAGAGTATAGAAATGGAAGATGTATTCGAGGTTTTGCAATACGAACAATTTTCGTGTACTATATGTCCAGTCACCGCGTTGGGCAGGTCATTCAGGTGGTGACTATAGATTTTGACTATGATGGTGACTATAAATTTTTTAGTCACAATATAGATAAATAAAGCTGCCAAGTGATTATACCTTATATTAAGAACGAAAAGCTACTGCAAGAAAACATACTTATTAAAGCAACTTTATTATTCCTTTATCAACTAATGATACCATTCTCTATATTCACCAGAACAATAGCTATCCAGCCGTTTTTGTTTCGTTAATGCAAATTGTTCGATTGGCAACTTATTTTTGTGTTTCGAAACGTTCTTAAATCCCCAACATCGAAGTCTCCATTATCTTTTTGCTCATAGAAAGTAATAAACATCTCGAGACCCTTTAAAGTCTCTTTATGAGACTCTTCACTATCATTTTGACTGTCAAAAATAGTGCAACAGCAGTAAATCTTCCTATTTTGCTTTGGTACTAACTTTTACTTTTCGGTGTTATTGATTATTTGGACTATATAGAGAGAACTTACATATATCATATAATTACTCGTTCTCCATAAAACGGTGATAGTGACTATAACGCAATTGTAACTGTAGTCAAGAAAAAGATTAGCTAAAATTTAATGAGCATTTAAAGAAGCAGACCCAAGAACGTTAAAAGCAACCGAACGCTTTATGGTCTATTTGAATGACAATGGGACAGCAAAAAGAAAGTGCGTATTATATACACCCATGTAATCGCAAATTTGCGAGGTAAGGATCAGTTTGATACATCGTCGGTCAAGCACTTGTTACATTTTTTAAGTTGGAAGCTTCTTTAACCAGTTTAATAAAAAAAAAACGCGCATTGTTATGTCTTTTTACAGACTGTTAACTTAACAGTCTCTTCATATGACCTTTTTCTTAGATTTTAAGTATTCCACGCAATTCAGGTTGTCTGGCCAAGAGCTTGAAAAATTGGTAGAATGACCTCTCTTAATCTCAAACAACCTAATTTCTAATTAAGCAAAATTTTAAGATGAAAGGTTTCTCACTAGATTATATACGAGACATATATAAAATTATCAAAAGCTCGAGTTTAATCGCCTATAATTTTGCCACGTGATTAAACCATGATTTCGGTAATCCGGACGTTTGATGATATTTCGATAATTCGGCTGTAATGATCAACTGTATAATAATAAATTAATAATTCGCCTTTGACCATATATGTAATCATTTAACCGCTAATTACGAAAGAGTTTAATGGAAGTTGACTGCAGGTTGATATCACGAATTTAACGCTTGTTCACTTGAATAATAAACTTGCACAGAAAAGCCATGAAGAACGTATGTTGGCCAGAACCTAAAAGTATTGTCCAGTCAGCTTGATGATAACACTAAAAATGACTACTACTCTTTCACAGCATGATTATAACCCTCACTATCATCTCACCAAGTAAGACTTATACTTTAAACGTTGGTCTTATAGAATCTTTGTTGACATCTGGTTCATGTGAAAGCAAATGCTATTACAAGACTAGCTGAAACAAATAAAGAAGCTTGGCTATGTCTGGTAGTTAGTTGGGCAATTTCTTAAACTTCATGTCGGAATCGACTTTTTAGTTTATTTAGCTTCCCTATAGGTTACGTGTAGACCTAATACAAATATAATAATGAACTAATAAATACAATATCTTACATACTTCTCCTCTTAACTAACTCCGTTAGTGTACATCAATTAAGCTCTCATTATTTCCAGTTGCTTGAGGTGGCTTTTCGTTCAACATGCTGCAGCAATGTTGACACTTGGCAGCTTCTTTTGGCACATCTGCTTTACACCATGGGCAGGGCAAGGTAGCGGGGGATTTTCCTTTATTGCGCTCGACTTGTTCTTGGACCGAGTCATGAACTATTTTATAATGGAGAGAAAATGTGAAGCTCGCATGGATGAGTAATAAGGAACGGCGGCGAATAGTTGAGAGGCTAGATAGTTTTTGTTGTAATAATCCAACTTACCGAGTACAATCCAGAACAAAGTTATACATATCAGGAAAAATGTAATGCAAGCAGTTATAAATGACCCAATATTCATAGTCCTAAAACAAATCAAGCAGTTTAAATAAGTAACAGTCTGTTCAATAGTTTTTCCCAACTGACTTTTACTTACACGGCCCCATCCGCCTGAGCGTCATGAGGAGTAGTGTAATGGGCACCATGAGTTTTGCCGGGACGAATGATAATGAAGAAGTTTTCGAGTTGTGAATCTTGGAAGAAAGATGTATTATTTAGTTAACAACATCGGCGTCATATGGGTTTCGTAATCGTATTTACCATGAATGACGAGACCGAGGGGTGGAGTGAGAATGTCAACCTACGGATAAATGACGATAAATGGTGAATTCGGATGCATTATGTATTTTATATGACACAAATCCAACAGAAATAAAAATTCGTGTGTTTGCTTGAACGTTTGCTTACGACGAATGAATTGACAACAGCAGAGAAGGCAGCACCGATGATTATACCTTTGGTCAATAGTATAGGATATTAGCTAACTCTATTACCACCAAGATTGATACCTTCGTCGATTACTCACCAACACCCAGATCAACGACATTTCCCCCTCTCTTCTCCACGAATGCTTTAAACTTTTTGTTTAGGCTCCTACAACAGCCAGACATCTTGGCGGGTAGACGGATAAGCGAAGCCAATAGTTGCGTCCCCTTATTATGGCTTTCTGGTAGGACTAGATGATCTAATCTTAATCAATTAAACGGGATATTAATATTACAAGAATCAAACAATGGCAGACTTGCTGATATTATTTTTGATCAAACAATGGCAGACTTACCGATATTATTTTTGATGTTCAATGCATACGTCATTCAATACTTAATATATTACTTTCGTTTTCCCCATCATGTGCCGTCATTACAAACAGGTTTGGCTTCTGCCATTTAAAGGGGGTACCCCCATTTAAAGTTTAATCAATGTGGCTGACTCGAGCGTTGCATAGCGTTGCGCCGGGAATATGCGATAAGACAATGCTTGTGGGGGCTATTAATACATAATGATCTAAACCAGATTGAGTATTCGGTGGCGCCCCTCATTAATGATGACGTTAAATCTGCAATCCTGTTTTTTGTCACACAATAATGTAAATGACATAATCGTTTGTATTATTAGAAACAAAATTTATAAGAGTTATTAAACACAAGCGAAACGTACAACCATGACAAATATTGCATCAACATCAAAATCAACAACCAACTCTCAAAACAACCATCATCCACCTCTACAATCTATTCTCTTTACACACCAGTTTCCAACCATTTCATCTAACTATCCAACCTCATCACCAATATCCTGCTCGATATGCTCGTCTACACTTCCTCGATCTACTCTTTGGTGTAATCCCTGTCAAGCAGCTCGCTTCACTGCTCTTTCTCACACTTGGACGTCAGATCATCCACTCCTCGACAGATACATTTTATCTACTCAACAGGAAGCTACTTCATGTGTTAGTTACTTAGAATATATTCCACATCAACAACTAGCTATCGATTTCACCATCGATGAGACTGAATACAGCGATTTTGCTCGTGTATTGATCGGATACTGGATTGATGGTCCAGCGGACACCTGGAGCGGCAGAGAGAAGAAGTTCGTTCGCGGAAGAGAGTACGTTAAAATCGCATTTATTAGTTACAAATGTACAGAGGAAGAGTTTGTTGAGGAACTACGTTTGCAGTTTGAGGCAAGAAAACAGAATCTGTTGATGACAAGGGTATTTGGTGCGACATATTGTTCTTTGACACAAAGATTTTGTATGATAATCGAATCAGCTGAATGGGATTTGAGGCGTTATATTTCTCATTTGCACACGCGTTTAGAATGGTCTCATCGCTTGCTCATCCTACATACGTTGACTTCAGCAATATTGTACCCCGATAAGTATCAGTATTACCAGCCATTGTATGAAGGTGAAGTGGACAATGTTATATTTAGATCACATACAGAAGTACCATTACGAGAGATGCAATTAGACACAAAGTCATATGGAATACCAGTAATCGGTAGTGTAAGATTTGATATTTCTCCGTATATTCCACCCGAATTTCTAATAAGCGGGAAGAAAGAGAGTGGACACGAAGTATATACCATATCAATGATAATGTTTAACCTGATCTGCAACGAACCAATCTTATATTCAATGTTACCACAACAATCTTCTTCATCAACGAATACATTCTCTCCCTCGGCCTATTCCTCCTATCTGTCGTCTTCTCTTCGCCCCCTCATTCCTGATTTTCTTCAGTCGATAGTTCCGTCTTTTTACATTTCTTTGATGATGCAATGCTGGTCTCATAATCCATGCGATCGCCCTTCCATTGCCACCCTACACGATATACTCACACGCTGGCGATTTGATCCAATATACGAAAGCGAATTCCAAGAAGCCGAGTCGAAGAGATTTGCATATGAAAAGTCGAAAGGTAACGACCCCAGTGAGGAGCTGACATTACCGAGTATTGAACATCCGATGGCAGTCGGGATTGCAAGACCAATTAGGTATTTGAAAATGCCAAAGGTTCCGCCCAAGCGGCTTTGGGTTAGACAGGAGAAATCAGATATCTGGAGGGCTGACAGAAGTGAGTATACTCTAACCTATTACTGTGTAAAAACAAGGAAATTGTCAATGATAGAAGGCTGTTTGTTCGGCATTTTCTCATTCTACTTCATTTCCATTCCTTTCCCTAAACTCCCGTTTCAGGTTTCTTTAATCACATAAATTCATTAAGACCTCGTACGTTCATGCTCCGCTTTGGATACGATCCATCGCTGTCGAATGATGAAAAAAATGAAAAGACATAGATACCTGACGCGTTCTCGCCTCAAACTCAATTGACATTTATACTAATTCGATATATTAATTTTTGGTAAATAAGTAATAATAATCAATGATAGTTTGAACATAGTCTTTCACATTGCATGCAATTTCAAAAGTAGATGAAATCGAAGGATATAGTAGTCGAGATATATGGAAGAAGGGTTCTAAATAAAATAAAAGGTTTGCTGTCGCTTAGTGATGGGTAATTATTAGTAGTCATATAAGCGTATCGATCTTGGCGAGTAGCGTGTTGACGTAACCGTATAATGGCTTATAAATTGGCTCTTAATTCTTCCAAATTTATTAGATTAAGTTTCCAGTACACGTTGAATCCAATATCTCCAAATTTGGAGGGTTTTCCGCGGATATCAAAAGTTATAAATTCTGTTGTAGGGGTCTAAATACTATCAGCGAACGAACTTACTATCGATGAAATGAACCGGACCCGAAATAGACATTACTATAACTTTGTAAGAAACGTTAATGTATATGTCGTATATATTTGAACAAAATATTCTCACGCGATGACCGACATAATGATGTGTAGTGTCATTCACGCAAGCACAAGTAGTTTGTGCGTGTACTTATAAATAGAATACTGCTGTCAATAAAGATCTTAATTAGAATACCAACATCAATAATGGAAATTGTGTAGTGTTGGCAGTGAGATGGTTGAAGAAACATAATTTATAGATCGAGCATTTTGTGGAGTGGTACGTGTACAAAATATTGTATGATGGAAGAATGAAGCGGACGATGTATTAAAAATATCTTCATGATTTGCAATAGGTCCAGTATATCGTGAGACATTCGAAGCGTCAGACAAGATTAAAATTTAGTATAAATACAAGGAATCAGTTAAGGTTATTAATACTAATACTATCGTTCGAATTTAGTCTAAACACATGGGAAATCTGGATTCATTAATTAAATATCCCGATTAACCAAATGACACTTGTGCCAGACAAGATTACGCATCAACTTCTATATATCTTGTATTGTGGTTGTGTAAGTGAATCTCTATGTTTTTGGTAAACACTGAATTTATGTGCCCTTACAGGAGTATGTTTATTAGTCATACTACATACTATAAAGTTATTCTCATGTCATACCTTCGTGCTAATATACGTTAACTCTTAGACTAAAAGTCAACATACTACTAGGCATAAAATTTATAGCAAACGACTGCAAATACATTAACTAAAATATTGGCCCTGGAAATTCTACTACAACAACCAAATAGAATAAGAGAACATGTGTTAATAAATAGTACAGTACTGGGTGGATCAAAAAGTTCTTGCCACTTGAAAAACTACATAATAATTTTAAAACTAACTAATCTATTTCTTCAAAATAGCCATCTCTTACCTTCATATATTTTTGTAACCTCTTCCGCCAACTTTCAAAAGACTTGTGATATTTCTCTTGTGGGATGGACGTAGCAATAATTCGACTCGTATTTTGCTTCAAAAAACCCCACATTCTTAGATGCGCGATGAGGCGCAGCATTGTCATATGCAGTAGCTCTTTGTACCTTCAAGAAATGTAATTAGAATAAAGCTCACCTACTCTCGTATCTCTTTATTAGAGGTTTTATTAAGCATATTGAGAGATATTTTTCCAAAATTGCTTCGCAAAGATCAAGGATCGTCTTCCAAGTAGTTTCTTCCATCATTGTCAAACTGTGCATAATGTTACTGCATTATGTCTACATGACCTTATTAATATTGCATTAATTTTACTAACATCTATCGCGTCTTGCCATTTCAACAGATACGTAGAATCGGTATTGCTCACGTGAAATTCACAAACTTTGAACAACGATATGTCTACAAGTGGCTCTCGATATAAGAAAGTATTTTTGCTGGACCTGATTCAAAATTTTATAACAAATGACTCTCGTTATAAGAGATTTCGATATAAGAAAGGAATTTGTTGGGCCCCGATCACTTTCTTATATCGAGAGCCACTTGTATTTATCGCTCTTTTCAAAATTCTGCAGTCACACAACATTTGGTCACAACTTTTTTGCGAGCCTGATTACTAAACCTCTCTGAAGAGTAGAAGACGCCTACTTAATACAACTTTACCTCTTTACTTAGCGCAAGGCAAGAAAAGAAAGCTTGTTGGTTGTTACATCAACGATTACGTGTATAACTGATTCTATTGGCTGAAATTGTTTTCTTTTTCATTTTCGTTTTGAAAAGTGCTATAAAACAAACCAAATTTAATTTGGTTTGAAGATCAGAACTTGAGCTTTTATTTAATTAGCATCATGCTATCAGCCCGTAAAACGAGAAGCATGCGGCAAGAACTTTTTGATCCACCCACGTATATACTTACTTTCTGGACTGTACGTTTTATTTCGACCGGTTTGGCCGACATAGTGTCGTTCTATGATTCTTTATTCAATTATTATAATATTAATATTAATACGCACCAACCAGTGTGTTGACTTGGACTTTCTTTGAGTGAAAACATGAGACATTTATGATAGTGTTGAATAATATGTTGAAAGGAAGTGTGGATAAGGTATCAAGTTTGACGGGAAGGAGTTATTTATGGGAGGCATGCAGTTCGAAGTATTGTGGCAAGTAGTTACTTTTATTTATTACACTCTGCGTAAATGGCATTAATTTTATGACGTTCGAATGCCATATCTTAATTGGCATCATGTTAGACGTAAATACTGTAGGTTCTAATGACTGGTATGTTCACAATACTCGCATTAACATTTTTTCGGGACGGCAAAAGGTACAAGTACACTAATTTGACATGTTAAATTCTAATATTTTAAGCTTCTCTGAATTTAGTTTAACCGTATAGAATAATGAAGTCTGATATTATCTGGTGTTTTGATCACACGGTATGAATGGGGCGGTATATTTTTTGTTGTTAACCAAAATTTCATATAAATAGTGGTTTTCCAACAAGCTTTTTTTTTGCGGCCCAAGGCATAAGGCGTAAGGCATAAAGCATAAGGCATAAGACATATTAATATAGCTTAAGGCGTCTTTGGTGTTGATCACTGCCAAAAAACAATAAAAGAAAGGGTTTGCATAATAAAAAGGAAAAGTTTGCATTACTATTACGCAATACTGCAATAGGCTAAAGTTGAGTCACAAACAAACAAATGCTAGCATATGCGTCGGCGGAACGCAAAGTGGCGAATCTGCCGTATGTTGTTTTTTTTTATTTCTTAACTCATGTTTGTATATTTCGCCAATTTGTTCTGTTGCAATGCACATAAAAGATATTTAATTACAACACTACATAGTTTGCTGGCTTCCATGGCGCAATTGGTTAGCGCGTTTGGCTGTTAACCAAAAGGTTCCTGGTTCGAATCCAGGTGGGAGCGTAATACGAATTCTTTTCCTCTTCGGTCTAAATTATTCACATGATCAAAAATTGTGACATGCATAAGAACTACTAATGGTAGATATTCAGTCTGGTAATCGGTATATGCTGAACTTATTCGAGCTACGGCTCGAGAGCTTAATCAATTGTACGAACGATTATCGATGAAATCCCAGCAACGTACGATTATACCAATAGCAATTACAACAACACCGCTCGTTCAACTATCGGCAGTTTTCTTCGCGCTCCCTCACCGCGACAATGGGGCCCTGTGGTGTCGATGCCACCGACTTAGTCAACTTTGTAAGTATCCATTCATAATTATTGCTGAAATCCGGCCGAAGCTGAAAATAACCAGATCAACCAATGAAAGGTCAAGGTTTCAGCTTCAGCCGGATTTCAGCATCAGCCGTGGCAAGTATTATTTATATCTATAAGAACGGACATTATTGTAACTAATTATTTTCATGATTCGTGTTTCGTATTACATTTGTTCGCAGACTTACATTGGGATCCTGTCTTGAATATACTAAAGTATTCGATGGGAGTTTTTTCGAGTTTATGCAAAATCCAGCGTAATAATTATACAAAGTTTTATATTACTTTGCAGCTTAGCTTTTCGCGAATCTGCATGTGAATTTTGAAGTGTTTAGCTTTATTATACGATGCAAACAAAAGGCAATTGCGATTAAAATCAATTTCGCCGATTTTTGGCTCTAAACATTTAGTTTTTATTTTAGTACTGAGTTGGCCATTCATTATTCGAAATACATGCCTGGCATGCTCTTAACCAAATTGGAATATGTTTGATGAGGAATTAGTGACCATTCCTCTTTCAGAGCAATCTCTAATTCCGTGGCATTTTCTTCGAGCACTTTTTAAATTATCGGAGAACAATGGTATCCTGTACAGTGGATGGCGGAATTTTAAATGTCTTAGACATTTTTGAAACGCTTCCACCTATTCTAAGACCTAAGATTTTTCCTCGATCAGCTTGTGTCAATTCAAAACCTCTTGGCATTGTAAAAGATAATAAAAGTGCTCAAAATAAAATTTGTAGACAACGCGACACATGTTTGTAGTTGGTTTATAATAATAAACCAATTTTATTTATTTAGGTTTACTTTCTTCTTTCTTTTATATAAATTTTGTGAGCCAAAGATCGGCGAAATTGATTTTAATAAACAATAAATGAATTTTATAATCACTATTACTACTCTATTGTTAAATATTGTTTCACATTTTTATTTTATTACAGTGAACTCTCCATTCAAGCACCCTCACCCTCCCAAGCTCAGGAATTAGGAAATTGATGCACACCCTCCATACTCTGCATTGCATGGTTTTTTCGATTCCCACTATATGAGTTTCACCCTCTATACATGCACGCCCGTGATTTTCATGTGATTTGTACAACAATTTATGTTACCTAATGGTTTGAAATGGTCAAAGTTATGATGATCAGTCTATACAAAGACAGTACAGCTACTAATACGTGTTACATATATTAATATTAATATGAGCTTCCTTGCAACAGTTCATTAAGCACTTAGTGAGCTTGCACAAATTGTAACTTAACTGATAGCATGAGCCTTAATGAATTCTTGAATAATCCAGAAGAAGACAG